TAAAAAATTGATAAATCGAAGTATAAAACAGTCAAAAAATTGAAAAATTTAAAGTTTCAGGAAAAACTTAAAATTCAAAAAGTATAAAGTCGAGAAATCAAAAAATCCAGGACTCCAGAAATCGAAAAGTCGAAAAATCGAAATATTGAAATATCCCAAAACTGAAAGAAATATCAAAAAATTGAAAAATCGAAAAATTGAAGAAGTCGGAAAATGGGAAAACAAAAAGAAAGATTACTTCAGAAATGGGAAAACTGGAAATTTAGAAACTTGAAAAATCAAAATACTTAAAAATCGTAAAATGGAAGAGAACAAAAATTGAGAAATCGTATCATCGAAACATTAAAATTGAGAAATCGAAAAATAAAAAATCGGGAAATCGAAATGTAAAAATTTTAAAAGCCCAGCATTGAAATATTGAAAAATTGAGACATCTAAAGTTGAAAAATCGAGAAATCGAAAAGCCGAAAAATCTCAGTAGCGTATTTATAAACCACTACTTTTTAACATTTAAATAACAGTTATTCAACAAAATTGTAAGATGACATCATCAATTTCTGTGGGGCATGAACGGATAAATCTTGACAAACGATTTAACATGTTTTCAATAAGTATAAATTGGAAAATGTTGATTTTTTTCCAAACATCTTGACATCTAAGCTAAAAACTCAACACGGTTTCATAAACCTTTTTACCATTTGATAATACAATTTGAAGTGTAATTCTTTTCATTCCGGAATATTATGTATTAAATCGTTAAAATGTTCAAAAACTTTGTTCAGATAGTCGAAACGGATTAGTTCGTAGTGGATGTGTATCAGATCAGCTCTAACGAAAGTCGGTTTATAGATAAATCGCTTAGAGACGATATTGGCCTGAGTGCGCTCTGGTCTGTAGATCAAACAAGTTCTCAAACGACGCTTTATTAAAAAATAAAATCAAGTTGGCACATCGCAGTGAAATATCTTGGGAATCTTGAAACCAATATTAAAGAGAATCCTAGGAAATTCTGAAGTCATATTAGCAACTTAAAGGAACATTCCGGAATAGTTGCAGATGAGTTACCTTAATCGAATAGTTGATAATCCAAAAAATATACTTAATGTTTTTGTTGACCACTTTAGTTCAGGGTTCACTCGTTCTGCCAATGTCAATTCTAATTAGTTTGTTGATGAGTCCATGGATACTAACATACATCTAGCCTTTAGTTAACAAATCAGATTACAATTAAGTCTAACTTAACTTTTGGTTATGATAATATCCCTTGTTTTTTACTTAATGATTGTGCGGCCGTTTTTGCTTATCCGTTATCTATTATCTTTAACTTAATAATTAAAACTTTATCATTTCCTGGCATGTGGAAATATTCTATTATCACTCCTGTTTTTAAAAAGGATATTGTTAACTATCGTCGCATCTCACTTAATATCTAATTTTTCAAAAGTTTTTGAAAATTTTTTTTCATAAGTTTTAAGTTTACCTTACGATTATCGTCACAATATTATTGGCAAACACAAACTAAGATTTGTACGAAAGCAACAAACACGATGAAAAATATGGCATTGCGCTGTCCCGGTTTGAATTAAAATAAATAAAATAAAATTGAATGTTGCGGTCGAATTAAAACATTGACTCAACAAATTTTATATTAATTTTCACTACTGGTCATTCGACATAGCCGATAATATATTCAAAATAATAACTAAAATTCATTTATCATTTCTAAATTATTGAATAACGAAATTTCCAATACGGTTATTGACTATTAACAACGCTTTTTGTTAATGTTGGACGTAACAGATATTTAGAAAATTTAACAATAATAATAACCTGTAAACAGCAGGGTCTGTCACTAATTGCTGGTCACAAAGCAGACGTGGCCAAACCCAAATCATTAATTAATCTTATTAGCTACTCACTGGTACCGATAATACCATTGTGCGATGTATTTGGAACAGCTAGACATCACAGGAATGCTAATTGGCCTGCGCAGATAATAATATTCAGACTTGTGTACCCTCTAAGTGTCCAATTCCTGTTAAAATTTTTACACTAGAGTTAAGCTTAGTTAAAATTAAGTTCAAATTTGTAAATTGATTTTAATTCGACAGTTTTCGTAACTGAAATTTAACAAAATCTATTTTGGATTGAGCCAGAATAGTCAAACACTACTCTGTTAGAATTTGCGGGACATCTGTGTCGATCAATGTTGACAAATCCCATCAAATTAATACCGAGATCAGATCTAAACCAAAATCGGTTTCCAACGCAATACACTAGACTTGGTAATGTGAAACTTAGGAAATTTACGTAACATTCTTTCAGAAATCTTGATTTTCAATTTTCAAATTTGGGGTAAATAAGTAAAATAAAAAATATTAAATATATCTATTTCAATCATTTTTTGGATCTTGAAGAAACGTAAATCGCATACTTTTAATTTGTCTTCGAACCACGTCAACTTAATAATATAAAAAGAAATAACGATGGTTCGTCTTGTGCATGAATCAATAGTAAAATAATGATTTTCAATTGTTAAGAAAAAATTAATTGTCGTATTGTTCATTAGCCTGACGAGCTTTTTGTGATTTTTAAAGAGAAAAGGTCAAACTAACTTTGTATAGTTTGTTTTTTGCAATAAATAAACAAGTTAGCTCATAAAAACAAACACAGCTCATATTTTTTACATTTTTTTTTTCTATATTTTTTGGATTGATATATAGAATTAAAGCTCACGGGTCACCATAAAATTAATAACAATATAATTAAGGACTAGAAACTAAAAATTAAAAAATACTGTGACAAAAGGAAGAAAGAAAAAAAAGTCGAACACTTAAGCTTCAAAAGACGAACAACAGCGTTTTAAATTATAGTGTCACGTAAATATTGTAAATGGGATACCTAATAGTTTGGTACACTATCAATTGATTTTATTTCGACGAAGAGTCTACGTCATACGCAAATAATAATGTTTTACAACAGATTTTGTCAGCTATATCATTCATGAATAAAACGAACAAAAGCGGACCCCGGTTAGATCATTGAGGCACACCGGAAGTAGCAGAAAAATTTCATGAGAGCATTCAAGAAGTGACAACAACGACTGCGTAATAATTATAATTATTTCCGACTTAATGTCCATATCAAAGCATAAAATCACCAAATGAGTTTACTACTAGACAGTTAGGTATTTCGGAAATTCTCGAGCCGGATCACGAAATATCGCATCAGCCAGTGATTGTAAAGTGTAAATTATATATCTACTTCCACTAAAACAAAGTCTTTTAGCTTGATTGAGTAAATATGATCTTCTAAAATTTACGCCTTCTCCACACGGATGAGTGTTTAGAAACCTCACCGAATCAATATCGACATCAAAAATTAAAACCAAAGTCTGGCGTTCCATCCTTCTATAAGTCGGAAATTCCGGATAAATTCAAAACCACAGTTAAAGCGATGTCAGAACCGTGAGACGCCAAAACTAAATAAAACTGACACTATTTTACTCTATTCGATTCATGCCCAGTCAGGTCAGTATATTTCTGTCAAAATCGTTTAAAATTTCTCGTTAAAGTGCATGTGGAGACACAAAGAGACATGCTGGCCGGAAATGAATCTTGGATAAAACCGTCAAAGATCGCCCGTCTGTCCCTCGGGACCAAAGCTTGTGGCAGCTAATTAGTTCTAAACTGGTTAACATGGGAGTTACAGCTACGTTTACTACAAATATAATGGAAGTGTGCGTAAGCGCATATTTACATAATGTCATAAAACACAGACAAAAGATTTTCCACTACACCAAGATTAAATTAAACTATGTATTTAAGTCCCTATCAAATTAATACCGATATCAGAATCTAGAATCAAGTGTGCATTCCATCACTCTAGAACTAGGTATTCAGGAAATTCCGAGCCGACCACAAAATAGAGTGACATCGGAGTCTTAGTCAATACTATTCTGTAGGAATTCGCGTGTACTCTGTGTAGACGAACGTTTACAAATCCCTCGGAATCAATATCGACGTGAAAATCTAAAATCAAAATCAGTGTTTCCCGTGTACTCTGTAATTGGAAATTCTAAACAAATAAGTTCAAGACCATGAAATAAATCCACGTCGAACGCCGAGTGCCATAAAACAAAATTGACCATTAATTTGAGCAGATTCTTACCTATTACAGCGAAGACAGATCTAGTTTTTCCAGAAAATACTTATACAAATTTTATACACAAGGATTTATAGTTACTTAAAGTTTGTCGTCACAGTTGTACATTTTTATTCATATTTCCAGCGAACTTTCGTCACTTAAAAACTTGTCTAGAAATCCGTTTTGTCGAACAAAAAGCGACTTAGAATATGTTTAGAAGTGCGTCTTTCTGATACGCAAAGTTAAGTCCTTAAACCCAACCTAAGAAAAAGTGCGTTTTTCGACGAAACATTCCCCAATAAAACGATATCATTCTACTTTGACTCGCGTTCCGATTTTCTCCCTAGTCAATAAACTACTCAATAGGAATTTGCGTGCACTCCATGTGGAAAAGTGTTTACGGCCCCTACCCAATCAATATCGTCATCAGAAATTAAAATCAAAACCCAAACTTCCCGCTTTCCGTAATTCCGCGGTCCGGAATCCCCCGACTCGTCCCATTTCCGTCAAAGATCGCCCCGTCGTGACAGCCCCCGGCGCTCCTCCGGTGCATTCCTCCGGAGCTCCGGGCCGCTCCGTGCCAGGCTCCGGGCTCGGCCGCCGCTCATGTCGGCGTGAAGTTCTACACGCTCCGGTTCAGCGCCCAGGTTCCGCCCGGTGGCTGCGTGAAATATGTTCCTCGCGGTCTCCCCAACTTCCAAGACGGCCCAACTTTCCAACAAGTAGACATAAAGCAGCGCCGCGGTCGCGCAAACGACTAATCTGTTTCTAGACGAAGTGATTTAGTGGGTAATTGCGGTAATTGGGTTCGTGCCGGGGGCGGCGGCGGCGGCCCGCACCATGCAGACACTTACCGTGCACCGGCGGCGAAGGGACCATCAGCACCACCAACACGAGTAGCGCGGAAGGCATGACAACGAGCGACCGGGCGCATCACCTGACACTAGCTCTCGCTCCGGAGGACACGCGGAATCTGATTTTAGTCCGGTCGCCCGCTCGCGCTCGACTCGCGCAGGCTCCGTCCGGATCCACGTGTCCGGAGATACGACAAACTCCGGCCCGGTGCTAACGTAGATATAGATGAGGCGCATGGCGCTTTATCAACACGGAAATTCGCGGAATTACATAACCGTCAGACGCTATTGTCCTGATTAGGCGACGCCGTTAAATTTTCAGCGGCTCGTTTATAACGGCGTCGAACGTACGGACAGGGCTGAGGAATGCATCGGGGTGTTTTTGTGGGGCGAGGAAGAAGGGCTGGATTGGTGTTTTCTGGGATTATTTCTGCAGTGTCAGCCGAGACGTTCATTTTCTCGGGTAAATTGGTGACGGGGAGCATCAAATAGAGATAAGAGTAACATCCGATTCGAAATTCCTAATAAATGTACGAATTTGAAACAGTTATTTTACTAACAAGACTCTGTGTTGCTGAAAAAGAACAACAGGAGAATAATTTCTAATTTAAAATATGTTTTATTATTGGTAGCCTGCGCTACGTCTTCTATCGCATTAAATGTGAAGTGTTTCAAGTGACCTCTTCTCAGTGAAGCCAAATTTTAACCTTATGTGTGTCCTCTTTGATTTGGAAAAGTCGGAGAAGGTAAAATTTACCATCATTTAGAGAAATCATTTGGAGCCTCATAGTCTAATTCGGTGCAGATATCAATCTAATGTATCCCATTGGTTTGATCAAATCCACTCTACTTTCCCCTTGGTGCAGAACTGAGGGAGTTCTAAAGAATCTATAATCTGCAAATGATCGTGTATTTCTAGACCCAGCTTATCTAAGAGGATATTTCAGGCATATCTAGTTCTGCCACACTTATTGTGTCAATTAATAGAAAGGCCGGGTCGAGTCAAGTTAGGTCAGGTCAAGTCAGGGCAGGTTAGGTCAGGTCAGGTCAGGTCCAGTCAGATCAGGTCAGGTCAGGTCAGGTTTACTAAAAATCTTGATCTATGAGGGAAGTAGTTCAGTTGTTCATGTTTATATTCCACTCGGGTCTCGCCTTCGTTTTTTACGATTCTTTGTGGGTTTCAGACCCCACTAAAGGTTTCAGTTGTGGTATACTACAGCTTCTTGGTGCTGGTATCCATAGGATCGCAAGTTTGATCCTTTAACTGGAAACATCGTTCTTAGATTCAAGACGTCTGGAAATTAGTATTTGGTACTCTTAATTTTTCACGTAGATAATAATGCTCTGTTTAGCATTAAAGGTTTTTTCCGCAACTTATCAAGTTTTATCGGTGTAACTCCTTTTTCTGTCTTTCTGCTTGTTTGTGTGTTTGCCTGCCTGCCGTCTATCCGGATTTTTATTAGGCAGATAACCTCCGAAACTACTGGCCCGATTGTTGTCCAATTTTTTATGTATCATGTGGATGGTAAAACGCTAACCAAAATTTGGGTAATCATCCCTACTGATAATTTGATGACATGAGCTCATTTATTGCGCAATTAACATTTTATAAATTTATGAAATATTATACTCCTCTACTTGTGGTCTATGAATTTACCTTGGTTTCGAGCCGTTATATGTGTTTAAAGGTTTAATCAAGAGGTTTAATCTATCTTGTAATCAAGAATGGTTCACCACATTAACTGTTTTAAAAATTTAAAAATACAGCAATGTCGCGCTCGTCTATATCTGATATTTATAAATTTATAAATTCGGCTCGTTTTCCTGAGAGTCTAACGCGTATTTTACGTGAGGTGGTTTACGTGATTGTTTACTCACAACCATATCATTTTGACATGGTGATAGATTGTAGAATTTGTTCTTCCTGTGTCTCAAATTTCGATTTAAAAAAAAATGAAACTAAAAAATTTCGGTTTAGGGATTTTTGAGACAAATCTAAACTACTGGTTGGGGATATTGTAGTGATTTAGTTTACCAAACTGTTAAGTTTATAGAATTCTATGGTTAAGTTTGTTAATATAACCTCAAAATGTCAACATTTCTGACACATTTACGTGTACGTTTTCTACGTTGTTTACTGTTGTTTACATGTCAACGTAAAAAAGGCTTTTTGCCGTAACACACCCACTTTCGAGGAGAAAAAATTAATCAAACATCATTTTCTTTTACGCAGAGTTTTGTTAACAGAACGTTCGAAATCTTTCGAAATATTGACAGAAACTCTCGAAGTTACGCAGTCTTAATTCTTTTAGACTATAGGCATAATTCACACAGTTCAAATGAGATATATTCGTACGTTACATGATCAAATTTTTGGTGTTGTATTACTATATGAAAATGCTAAAATATTCTAAAATTTTATAATAATGTGGTTAGTAGTAAAAGCACCAAGAAACAAATGGACAAACGAAAACGCAAGGTCTACTTTTTCATATTCTAGAAGCTTTGAAACGTCGCAAAATGAAATTAGTGGTTCGTGAAATGACACACACTAAAATATGCAGTTTAGGCTTCTAATGAGAAAAACAAGTGGAAGCTAGTCGAAGTATAACATATACTTTTATATAATTAAAATTTTATTAAATTTCTGAAAAATTTTCGGACATAGTGAAAGGATTCCAAGGATGCTAAAAACTCAAAGGACCACACAGGGTTATAGTAATTTCAAAAATTTCAGAGATTCTCCAAATTCCAGATTTTTTAAAAACTATATAAATACTAAAAATCCTATAAATAAAAAAACTAAGTTCTCTGTAGAGATGCTGAGGAACCTAGAAAAGCCGAAAGTCTAATAGTTCCAAAGATTATAGAAATTCTAGCGCTTTTAAAGAAACTGGAGGTTCTAACAGTTCCAAGGTTTTCGGGTTAAAAATATTCAAAAGGTTTCAACGCATTCAAAGATTCCAAAGATTTTAAAGACTTTAGACATTCTAAAGATCTTACAGATTCTAAATAACTCAAAACTCTAAGATCCTAAATATAAGAAATCCTCAAAAATTCTAGAAATCCTAGAAATTCTAAACACTAGTCCTAGAGTATCCAAAATTTTGCGAAGAATAGAAAGATTTTAAACACTCGAACGACTCTTTTTTGGATTGGAAATTCATTGAACATTGAGGTCTATAATTTTTTTAAAATCTGGAACTTGTGGACATTATGTGACTTTTCGAATATCTGAATAATAGGACTAATTTTGAAAATCTGGAAATTCTAGAAATCTTTAAAACTTCGCAAATTATGTAAATTCCGAACAATTTTAAAAATTCAAAAATATTATATATATATTTTTTTGACTTTACCTCTATAAACAAAAAACCAGTGGCGTAAATAACAACTACCGAAATCGAAAAATCAGAAATAGTGAAATCAAAAGTTCGAAAATTAAAAAAAAATAGACAAATCTTAGGGAAAGTCTAAAAATCGAAAACTAAAAATCGAGAAATCGAAAAATCCAAAATTAAAAAAAAATTGAACAAAAACTGAAGGTTGGAATCGAAAATTTGAATAATCTAAAAGTAATAGAATTTAAAAATCTAAGAAAAAACAATTTAAAAATTGAAAATTCGACTATCAAAAATCGACAACCCGAGAAATCAAAAAATCGTAAAAGTAAATTAATTGAAAAATCGAAAAACAGAAGAACGGAAAAATTGAAAATTGAAAAGTGAATAAATTGAAAATTCGAATATTGAAAATGGAAAAGTAAAAAATTGAAAAATCTACAAACTGGAAAATGGAAAAGTTGAAGAAACGAAAATTCAAAATATCAAAATTGGACATTCGAAAAATTGAAAATATGAAAAAGCGAACTATTGAAAAATTTTAGAATCGAGAAGTGGAAAACGAAATAAATCGAAAATTTGAATTTCAAAAAAAAACGAAAAATCCAACAATCGGAAAATAGAAAAAACGATGTGTCCAAATTCTAACTGAAAATTCTAAAATTCTAAAATCGAAAATTGGAAAAAAATGACAAATCGAGAAATCGAAATTAAAAAAATTCGAATATCGAACATGAAAATTTTGAGGCCTGAAAATTTAAAAAATCGAAAACCCGAAAAATCGAAAAACTACAAAGTCGTGAAATCGAAACAGCGAAAAAATTGAAAAATTGAAACATCGAGAAATCGAAACATCAGAAGATCGAGAAATCGAGAAATCCACGAACCGTCAAATCTAAAATTAAAATATCGAAAATTATAAAGTCCATTAACGGAGAAATTCCCAAAATTAAAGTGTTGGAAACTTGAAAAATCGAAAACTTGAAAAATCTGGAAATCGAAAAATTTTAAACAGTGTAAAAAAACTGAGTCCTCTGTAGAGATTCTGAGGGAACCTAGAAAAGCCGAAAATCTAATCGTTCTAAAGATTATAGAAATTCTAGCGATTTTAAAGTATTTGGAGATTCTAACAGTTCTAAGGTTTTCAGGTTAAAAATATTCAGAAGGTTTCAGCGCATTCAAAGATTCCAAAGATTTTAAAGACTCCAGAGATTCTAAAGATCTCACAGATTCAGAAGCAAGAAGATTCAAAGATCCTCAAAAATTGTAGAAATTCTAGAAATTCTAAACACTGTAATCCTAGAGTGTCCAAAATTTTCGAAGAATAGAAAAATTTTAAACACTCGAACGATTCTTTTTTGGATTGGAAATTCTGACATTTAAGGTTATTGAGGTCTACAATTTTTATAAAATCTGGAAATTCTGGACATTATGTGACTTTTCGAATATCTGAATAATAGGAGTAATTTTGAAACTCTGGAAATTTTGAAATTTTGAAAACTTCGTAAATTATGTAAATTCCAAAAAATTTTAAAAATTCATATATTTTTTTGACTTTACCTCTATAAACAATGAACCAGTGGCGTAAATAACAACTACGAAATCGAAAAATCAGAAATCGAGAAATCAAAAGTTCGAAAATTAAAAAAATAAACAAATCGGAAAGTCTAAAAATCGAAAACTGAAAATCGAAAATTAAAAAAAACAATTGAACAATCGAAAAACTGCAGACTGGAATTGAAAATTTGAGTAATCTAAAAGTAAAAGAACTTGAAAATCTAAGAGAAGAGAATTTAAAAATTGAAAAATCGAAA